TAAGTCTTACCTGAGTGTTTCCTGCCTATAACCATTAAGCCAGTGTCAAAGAGAGACACAGAACCTTTGTTTGAAAACTGCCTCCAATAATAATTTTTTCAACACACGTACCTATGTACACCTTCACATCAGGGACGTGCGGTGAGGTTTGTGATTGGGGAGGCACTGACTTTAAAAGTCAGATTTACAATCATTATTCAAATAAAATAGCATTTAATCACCAATGCAATGACATCCACAAACTTTATATACTGTAAAGATAAGAGAACCAGCTTCTTTTAATAATCTCACAACAAATCTAGCTGCTGACTCTGCTCCGCATCAAACAACATCTTTAAGAAGCGCAGGTGCGAGAGACGCGAGGAGCAGAGAGAGACGGAGACGCGAGGAGAGAGAGACGCGAGGAACATAAACAATAATTTAAACAAGTTGCAGAACTCTTGAGCAGTGTTTGAATCAGTGTTTTTCGGAAAAGCACTACTTTGCCGGTATCTGTCAATGTTCAACATAAAACACAGATTAACAAACTCCTCCCCCGCAGCCGGACTAACCTCGTAAGTCCAGTGGTGGTCTCCCAGTCTATATTAATTCTTTCTTTGTTTGAAAGTCCAATTGAGAAAAAAAATCTTCATTCAAATCATCCATTTTCCAGCAAAAGAAATAGCATTTTGGGCTGATTGTTTGTTAGCAACTCTGGTATGAACTTTATGCTCACTATCACCCCTAGCGGTGAGGCACAGATACCGCCTGCCTCACGCCAAGCTTTTTCCTTGTGTGTTCATCTACGATCAAAAGACTTAAACTAAATATAAATTGTACACACATACGTGCAATACACTACTAAACACTAAGAGGAGTTTAAAAAATGTTTTTAAAGCAGGATATTTAAAACAAACGGTGATATATCAACTGCACGAGCTGAGTGCACTCAGACACACACACACACACTGTGAGGGAGCGGTCTGGGGTGAGGCACGCAGGAGCGCTGCCTCACCTCGTCTCTTTGAATAGGAATAACGGGATTTCGGCGATTTTGACTTCAGAAATGATCAAAACTGATGGGAACCGTGCCGAATATACATTAAAAGCATAGGACAGTGGATATAAATTATATATTTAAACTAAAATAATTATTAGTTTCCAATAATGGCAGGTGAGGCTCTGCCTCCCCTGCCTCCCCTGACTGCACGTCCCTGCTTCACATGACAAACCACACCGATAGCTCAGTGCACAGGTCACTCAGAGGCCGGTGTGTGTTGATGAATCGTCCTGTTAGCTTGACGTCGTTAGCTGCTGTCTGCTCAGATGGACTCAGAGGAAGTCAGGCCTCATCGATCTCCTTCACGTTCAGCATCAATGCCGTAGATTAGCTCAACATGTGAATGCCAGTGTTATTGGACAGGGTCTCTCACAAATATCGAGCGCAGCGTCTATAGCCTCCTTCAGCCTCCTTTAGCCTCCTTCAGCCTCCTTCAGCCTCCTTCAGCCTCCTTCAGCCCACAGGGGGCACTGTGGGGTCTGGGGAGAAGCACGACTTTGGGATGAAATGTTAAAGAAGAAGTTTTATTTATTACTATTTTTATTTTGTTTTTATTTGATAGGGACTGGCACAATAGCTACAGGCTGGTTTTCATTCTTAAGCAGAGGTCAGGGAGAGAGCTGAGAGAGAGAGATTAGAGAGAGACCAGAGAGAGAGAGAGAGAGAGAGAGCACAGAGAGAGAGCAGCGAGAGAGCGAGAGCACAGAGAGAGAGCACAGAGAGAGAGAGCAGAGAGAGACATAGAGAGAAGAGAGAGCACAGAGAGAGACCAGAGCGAGACCAGAGAGAGAGAGCAGAGAGCACAGAGAGAGAGCAGCGAGAGAGAGAGAGCACAGAGAGAGAGATAGAGAGGAGAGAGAGCACAGAGAGAGAGAGCAGCGAGAGAGAGAGAGCACAGAGAGAAACTAGAGAGAGACCAGAGCGAGACCAGAGAGAGAGAGCAGGGAGAGAGCAGAGAGACTAGAGAGAGAGAGAGAGAGAGAGAGAGAGAGAGAGAGCACAGAGAGAAACCAGAGAGAGACCAGAGAGACCAGAGAGAGAGAACCGCGAGACCACAGAGACAGATCCAAAAGAGACCAGAGAGATTTAAATAAATAAATAAATAAATAATAAAACAAATGTAAAGACTAAGCAAAAGTAGTTGTTGATTTCACTGTTAAAATGATAAATTATTTAACTTTAATTGTTATTTTGAGATTTTGTAACAATCAATTATTGTCACAGTCACAGTTTCAGACATTTCTATAGGTCTTTAAAAGGTTTTTCTCCAGAGTAGCTTTGGCAAACTTCCAAACTGCAGCTTGGCTTTGTGTTGATAAGAAATAAAACAGTGAATAAAATGGTAAAATAAAAGTGTAGATTCAGTCATAAGGAGCTGCTGAGACCGTCGGGAAAACACACAACTCAGTCATTTACTAAAACTTTATTATTGAGAAAATTATAATATCGTTTAAAAGTGTATATATTTCTGTGATTCAACCAATTTATGATTCAATTCCCTTCAATATTTTTCTGTAGCAGCCTTTGCAAAGCTGTCGATTTGCCAACAGCAAATCAGAAAATCTTATTTCTTTTTCAATATGCATTTTACTGTGAGTTTTGTATTGTGTCCTAATTAAGATTAAAGATAATAATAAAACAGTTAAAACACAGGAAATGTATAAAAACACATAGAGCCATTGGTTCATAGGGAGTGGGAGAGACCAGAGAGAGACCAGGGGAGAGACCAGAGAGAGACTAGAGAGAGACCAGAGAGAGACTAGCGAGAGACCAGAGAGAGACCAGGGGAGAGACCAGAGAGAGACCAGAGAGAGACCAGAGAGAGACTAGCGAGAGACCAGAGAGAGACTACAGAGAGAGACCAGAGAGAGACCAGAGAAAGACTAGAGAGAGACCAGAGAGAGAGACCAGAGAGAGACCAGAGAGAGACTAGCGAGAGACCAGAGAGAGACCAGAGAGAGACCAGAGAAAGACTAGAGAGAGACCAGAGAGAGAGACCAGAGAGAGAGACCAGAGAAAGACTAGAGAGAGACCAGAGAGAGAGAGACCAGAGAGAGACTACAGAGAGAGACCAGAGAGAGACCAGAGAGAGACCAGAGAAAGACTAGAGAGAGACCAGAGAGAGAGACCAGAGAGAGACCAGAGAGAGAGACCAGAGAGAGACCAGAGAAAGACTATAGAGCGAGACTAGAGAGAGGAGACCAGAGAGAGAGACTAGAAAGAGAGAGAGACAGAGAGATGAGAGAGAGCGACCAGAGAGCGAGACCACAGTTTGTAGGTTTCCTCTTTAGTAATCTTTATTTAGTAATCTTTATTTATATACCGCCTTTTCACTGCACATTGGAGTCTCAAAGCGGTTTACAATTGTGATTTTTGGGAGTGGGGGTGCCAGTTCAGGAGGCACATGCCGGACCTATTGTACATATTTTTAGTGGTAGGGGAAACCGGAGCACCCGGAGGAAACCTACGCAGACACGGGGAGAACATGCAAACTCCACTCAGAAAGGCCCTGGTCCAACCGGGATTCGAACCCAGGACCTTCTTGCTGAGAGGCGAGAGTGCTATCCACTCAGCCACCGTGCCGCCCCTGGGTTCTCCGGTTTCCCCTCCCACAAAAATCATGCACAATAGTCCAGCACTAGACCCTCCCCAATCCAGCCCCCTCTCTCTGGGTCTAAGGACAGTAGTGAGGACCCAGGACTCTCACACATTTATGGACATCGGTCTCTGCTCCTTATGGACCAATGTGTTCCAGGAGAACTACTGTTGTGATTTAGGGTTACACAAAAATTAATTGATTGGAATTGAACCTCCTCCGACCAATCACAGGAGTTTCATTTCTAGTTTTTCCCTCTTACTTTGATGAAACGAGTCAAAACTAGAGGATATTGCGATCCGAATGTGGAAACACGGCCGTAAATCTCTGGTCATGGAACAGCGGGTCACAAATGTGGTTTTTACTTTGACACCATAAATCTCTGGGATATGTCTGGTGTCAGATTTTCATGTTGTCTCCGTTGTTTATCTTCAGGAGCATCAGTAAAGTCGAACCCATGATGGCACTGAATCCATCACTGTCAGGGCCTGGATCAAGACTCCTCTGCTCCTCCATACGTCTAATCTAATCAACTCTAAACAAATCAGTCGGCTGTCATTTAATCTGGAACCCTCACTGTGCCCCGTCCTGAAGGTCCCCGTCAAGGAGAGAGCAGAGGGAGAGAGAGAGTAGAGAGAGAGAGAGTAGAGGGAGAGAGAGAAAGCAGAGAGAGAGCGAGAGAGCAGAGGGAGAGAGTAGAGCGAGAAAGCAGAGGGAGAGAGAGAAAGCAGAGAGAGAGCGAGAGAGCAGAGGGAGCAGAGGGAGAGAGAGCAGAGAGGGAGTAGAGGGAGAGAGAGAGCAGAGGGAGAGAGAGAGCAGAGAGAGAGAGAGAGAGAAAGCAGAGAGCAGAGGGAGAGAGAGAGCAGAGAGAAGAGGGGGAGAGAGCAGAGGGAGAGAGAGCAGAGAGGGAGCAGAGGGAGAGAGAGAGCGAGAGAGAGAGAGAAAGCAGAGAGCAGAGGGAGAGAGAGAGAGAAGAGGGAGAGAGAGCCGAGAGGGAGCAGAGGGAGAGAGAGCAGAGATAAGAGAGACAGGAGAGAGAGAGCAGAAAGAGAGGAGAGGAGAGAGAGAGAGAGCAGAGGGAGAGAAAAAGGCCAGAGGGAGAGGATTGATTCCAGACCAGAGACCAGACCAGAGACCAGACCAGAGACCGGACCAGAGACCGGGCCAGAGACACAGCCACTGAAAAACAGTTTAAATTCCTTACAGTATATTACACCTTTATACATTTGCTCCATTCACAGCAGAAGCAAAGAAGCACAAACTAACTTTTAAGGCCAATTTCAAAGTCGTCGTTTTTATTCAAAGCAGATTCTTAGCTCTGATTATAGCCTCTGCTCCTCCTCTCGTCCTGAACAGGCAGAAACCATGAGTCCGTCCAGTGTGTTGCTGGCGCTTTCTCTGGTCCACGGGGCGTCGGTGTGGGGCCTCAACCCTGACGACCCCAACGTCTGCAGCCACTGGGAGAGGTGAGCCCGCATCCTCCACCGGCCAAGGTCGGACACACACACACACACACACAGACACACACACACACACACAGACACACACACACACACACACACACACACGCTCTCAGCCAAAGTTGTGTTTTGTAAAAGTCTGTACAAGGCCTCATCGATTGTCACTGCCCTGCGGTGGTAGTGACCAGATAATGGGAGGAGAGAGAGACCAGAGAGAGACCAGAGAGAGACCAGAGAGAGACTAGAGAGAGACCAGAGAGAGACCAGAGAGAGACCAGAGAGAGACCAGAGAGAGACCAGAGAGAGACCAGAGAGAGACTAGAGAGAGACCAGAGAGAGACCAGAGAGAGACCAGAGAGAGACCAGAGAGAGACCAGAGAGAGACCAGAGAGAGACCAGAGAGAGACCAGAGAGAGACCAGAGAGAGACCAGAGAGAGACCAGAGAGAGACCAGAGAGAGACCAGAGAGAGACCAGAGAGAGACCAGAGAGAGACCAGAGAGAGACCAGAGAGAGACTAGAGAGAGACCAGAGAGAGACCAGAGAGAGACCAGAGAGAGACCAGAGGGAGACGAGAGAGAGACCAGAGAGAGACCAGAGAGAGACCAGAGAGAGACTAGAGAGAGACCAGAGAGAGACTAGAGAGAGACAATAGAGCGACCAGAGAGAGACCAGAGAGAGACCAGAGAGACCAGAGAGAGACCAGAGAGAGAGCAGAGAGCCATCGGGCGGCACGGTGGCTGAGTGGATGGTTCGAATCCTGGTCGGAACAGGACTTTTTAGAATGAAGTTTGCATGTTTTCCCCGTGTCTGTGTTCTTCCGGGTGCTCCGGTTTCCCTTACTGCTAAAAATATGCATAATAGGTCTCCTGTTCGGCGACCTCGGTGCCATGTCTGTGTGGAGTCAGACAAATACCCCAAAATAACAATTGTAGAGCACTTTGTGACTCTGGTCTGTGAAAGACGCTATATAAATAAATTACTTACTTAGAGAGAGGAGAGAAAGATACCAGAGAGACAGGGACCATAGAGAGACCCTGACAACCCCAACGTCTGCAGCCATTCGGAGAGGTGAGCCCGCATCCTCCATACACCAAGGTCACACACACACTCAGCCAAAGTTGTGTTTTGTAAAAGTCTGTACAAAGCCCCATCGATCGCCGCTGCCCTGCGGTGGTAGCGACCGGAGAGTGGGAGGAGCCTGGCCTCAGATCAGATGCGAAGGCAAATTGATCAGTGTATCCTCAGGCCCCGATCCATCACCGCCGCCATCCAGACGGAATAATTATTAGTGGCGTTGGCTACTGTCATTTGTGAGAAATAAGCAAGAATCATTTGGGTCCCGGATGCAAAGGGGAGGAAAGGAAGCAGGGAAGATGTATGGCGCGGGTTATTGAATGACCGAGGGGAGGCACTTAGGGAGAATGGCTACACCTTGTTGCCGGTAAAAAGAAATCCCAAAGGTTCTCAGATATTCTCGTCCTGACACCGATGGCGTCATAAATCAAAGGCGGGTTTCTGCAGCTGCTGATGTTTGTGCCACAATAAAAACAATGTCAAAGTCAGTGCAACTGTGTGGTTACAGTGAATTAACTTTATCGTTTAAAACATGAAACAGAAAGAGAGGAGAGGGAGCAGAGAGCACAGAGAGAGAGAGAGCAGAGAGGAGAGGAGAGGGAGCAGAGAGCACAGAGAGAGGAGAGGGAGCAGAGAGCACAGAGAGAGAGAGGAGAGGAGAGGGAGCAGAGAGCGCAGAGAGAGAGAGAGCAGAGAGGAGAGGAGAGGGAGCAGAGAGCACAGAGAGAGGAGAGGGAGCAGAGAGCACAGAGAGAGAGAGGAGAGGAGCTGGAGCAGAGAGCACAGAGAGAGGAGAGGGAGCAGAGAGCACAGAGAGAGAGAGGAGAGGAGAGGGAGCAGAGAGCACAGAGAGAGAGAGAGCAGAGAGGAGAGGAGCTGGAGCAGAGAGCACAGAGAGAGAGAGGAGAGGAGAGGAGAGAGAGAGCAGAGAGAAGAGGGAGTTGGAGCAGAGAGCACAGAGAGAGAGAGGAGAGAGGAGAGGAGAGGAGGAGAGAGAGCAGAGATAGAGAGGAGAGGGAGAGAGAGAGCAGAGAGAAGAGGGAGCTGGGGAGCAGAGAGCACAGAGAGAGAGAGGAGAGAGAGCACAGAGAGAGAGGAGAGGGAGAGAGAGCACAGAGAGAGAGAGGAGAGGGAGAGAGAGCACAGAGAGAGAGGAGAGAGAGAGAGGAGAGGGAGAGAGAGCACAGAGAGAGAGAGGAGAGGGAGAGAGAGCACAGAGAGAGAGGAGAGAGAGAGAGGAGAGGGAGAGAGAGCGGAGAGGAGAGGGAGAGAGAGCACAGAGAGAGAGGAGAGAGAGAGAGGAGAGGAGAGGAGAGCTAGAGCAGAGGGAAAGAGAGCAGAGAGAAGAGGGAGAGGAAAGACAGAGGAGAGGGAGAGCAAAGGGAGAGAGAGCAGAGAGAAGAGGGAGATGAGAGAGAGAGATACCAGAAAAGTGACAGAAAAATGTGCAAAAAGTTGGATATTGTTACTGGACTTTCTCTTGTGTGGCAGACATGTCAAACTCAGGCCCACAAGCCAAATTCGGCCGCAAAACCATTGTTTGTGGTCCCAGAAATGTGATTTTAAATGATTTTTATTATTGATGTGATAGGATACTATGGCGTGTTATAGTTAATTTTAAATCTTCCCAGGAAAACAACCAAATGATTTCATCTGTTCTAAAAGTTAGAGAAGATAAAGTTCAGATATTTTTCAGTCTTTAATTACATCTCTTCTTTAAATTTGGCAGGATTTTGGTTGAATCGAAACCTACTAGAAAATAACTCATGTCAAATAATAATAATAAAAATAAATAACTGAAGAAGATGACAAAGTCTGGGATCGTGTCTTTAATTCAGACAGAAGACATGTTTTATTGTTGATGGTAGATGCACAAAGTGGTAATATACAGCAGGAGAAACGGAGAGCTCCAATCAGCAGCTGTCACGGTGCCAGCAGCTTCAACCTTGAGATAACCAAATGAATGGAAGAGTTCTGGCTCGTGCAAATGTTAGAATGATGACTTAGAACTTTAACCACAGACTTTTGGCTCCAACAGTTGTTTGACCGAAACGATTATCAGACAAGCCACGATAGATCAGGGGTCTCCAACCTGTAGATCGGGAGCCACCAGTAGCTCGCCAAAGAATTTAGAAACAAACAAATCAAATAACCTGCTTAATATATCAGATTGTATTATTCATTATCATTATAACTTTTGTGTACCTTCACTTACTTTGTGCCCTAGCAGCAAATATGCAATGATTAATCACAACTGTACACTGCATTTATCCCAGGGCCGCTTAAAGGAGTAGCTCTCTGCCTTTATCGTCCCTGGAAAGTAGCTCTCCGGGTGAAAAAGTTTGGAGACACCTGCGATAGAGACTAAACTTTCTACATAAATGTGTGTGTTTTGCATGTTCTTCCAGTTACGCCGTGACCGTGCAGGAGTCGTACGCTCATCCCTTCGACCAGATCTACTACACCCGCTGCACCGACATCCTCAACTGGTTCAAGTGCACCAAGCACCGGTGAGAACAGAGGTCGCAGGTCACAGAGGTCAGAGGTCAAAGAGCAGAGGTCAGAGGTCACAGAGCAGAGGTTTGAGTTGAGTCCAAGTGTTAAAAGAAACAGTCATGTAAACATATCCAGAGACAGTGCTGTAGTAAGTGTGTATCAAGGCATGGACACTTACTACAGCACTCCTTATGGACAAGTGGGTAAAGTGTCTTGCCCAAGGACACAACGACAGCCGACATCAGTGGGAGTTGGTGGAGAAAGTCGAACCCACGACCTTCAGGCTCAATGGCCAATGCTCTACCATCTGAGCCACTGTCACCACCAGCAGAAACCTAATATTATCATCTATACAGTAACAGCTCGACGCAGCTGCGACAACACAATGAAAAACATGTTGGCATTTGTGTTTGTGTGTGTGTGTCTGTGTGTGTGTGTCTGTGTTTCTCTGTGTGTGTGTGTCTGTGTTTCTCTCTGTCTGTGTGTGTGTCTCTGTGTGTGTTGCCCTCTCTCGCTCTCACACGTCTCTGTTCTCTGTGTGTGTTTGTGTCTCTCTCTGTGTATGTGTGTGTGTGTGTCTCTGTGTGTGTTAGTGTCTCTCTCTGTGTGTGTGTCTCTGTGTGTGTTTGTGTCTCTCTCTCTGTGTGTGTGTGTGTCTCTGTGTGTGTGTTTGTGTCTCTCTGTGTGTGTGTCTCTGTGTGTTTGTGTCTCTCTCTGTGTGTGTGTGTGTGTGTGTCTCTCTCTGTGTGTGTGTGTGTGTGTGTGCGTGTGTCTCTGTGTGTGTTTGTGTCTCTCTGTCTGTGTGTGTGTCTCTGTGTGTGTTTGTGTCTCTCTCTCTGTGTGTGTGTGTGTCTCTCTCTGTGTGTGTGTGTGTGTGTCTCTCTCTGTGTGTGTGTCTCTGTGTGTGTGTGTGTGTGTCTCTCTGTGTGTGTCTCTCTCAGTGTGTGTGTCTCTCTGTCTGTGTGTCTCTGTGTGTGTTTGTGTCTCTCTCTGTGTGTGTGTGTGTGTTTGTGTCTCTCTGTGTGTGTGTGTTTGTGTCTCTCTGTGCGTGTGTGTGTGTGTGTGTGTGTGTGTCTCTGTGTGTGTGTGTGTTGCCCTCCTGCGCTCTCACACGTCTCTCTTTGTATTGTCTGTGTTCCAGGATCAGTTATAAGACGTCTTACCGGAGGGGGGTGCGCACCATGTACCGGCGCCGCTCGCAGTGTTGCCCCGGCTACTTCGAGAGCGGAGACCTGTGCGTCCGTGAGTATCGTTCTCGCCGCCGTCCTCGCCGCTGACATTTCAACTCGCCGCCCGCTCAGACGCTCAGAGAAAAGGAGAAAACATTCGGATTGATTGTGGCTGCGGGGGGCGTGGGGGAAAAGTTACAAAAGTCTGCGGCCACAGACGCCTCCGCTCTGCAGCTGTGGAACACAGCCGCTGCCCCAGAAGAAGAAAGGCACCTCTATAGGCTCTAGTTACCCTATTTATCTTATATTTAAGTAGCTATATGTAAGTGTTCATGCCAAGTCATCATGAAAGGGCCTTAATCTGTCATCATGAAAGGGCCCTAATCTGTCATCATGAAAGGGCCCTAATCTGTCATCATGAAAGGGCCCTAATCTGTCATCATTAAAGGGCCCTAATCTGTCATAATGATAAACTGATCTTTTCCAATACTTCTTTAACTGATAACAATAGTTCAGAGATATTTTAATTTCTAAATTACTTTTCCAGCCTCTAAATCTTGTTATTGTTTTCATTTCGATGTCCCGCCCTCCACCGTTTCACCAATCAGAAAGTCTGTGTTCCGGGCGCCAGAACTCACCGCGTGGAGATAATCTCACTGGTAAAGTACCGAGGTGGGATTTGAGTGGTTAGCATCCAGGGTTTGAATCTCGGTTGGAACAGGGACTTTCTGGTCTCCCCATGTCTGCGTGGGTTTCCTCCGAGTGCTCCGGTTTCCCCTACCACCAAAAACATGCACAATAGATCTGAATGTAATGAGTGAGTGATTGAATGGTGTTTGGTCGGAGGTTTTGATGGACCAGTGTGTACGGCATCTCGCTTCCGTCATCACCGTGTGGAGAGAATACAACAATATCTGAACTCTGTAGAGCTTTGGGTCCAACCTTGGTCTGTGAAAATGTGCTATATTAATAAAACATTACTTACTTACTTACTCTCAAAATAATAGTTTTTGTATTTTGATATTAAAGCTGCACTAACTGACTTTATTTTCGTATTCATTACAAAAGTGCTATCCATGTCCATGCAGTGCTTTGGGATAAACGTTCTTTTGAAGAAAAAGTATCGCAGATTTGTGCTGGTGTGACATTATATTTTAGATCGAATTTTGATGAAACAAGGAAGAGAATGTGTTTCGGGTCGCAGATTGTGACCAATCACAGCGCACCACTGGCCCCCACTTTTGTGAGAAATCTACAGGTCCGTTAGCATAGACGGCTGAGTTAGCACAACAAGCGGCGGAGCCAACCTGAAACTTCCTCGTCTTCGTCACCGGTTACTGCTTACTCAGCAAAACAGCCTTCCAAAAGAAAGTCCTGTTCCTCCGCACTTCCCGGTTCTATCGTTCTATGGTCACGCCATCCACGTGCAAATCCATATCCATGTATTATCCATATTGCGAGACGCTAGCTCCGTCAACAACAGTGTGTGTGTGTGGGGGGCGATAGCTTCGTGGGTGCGGGGGGGAGTCCGCGGCTTCAAAATCCCAAAGTCAGTTAGTGCAGCTTTAATTCTTGATATTATTAATGCATTATCTTTTGTTATTTTGATTTCTTGGGCACTTTTTCATCTGGTATTATCGATGGACCAAAACGTTACGTACCCCAGCTTTAAATGTGAATCCTTTACTACTTTACTGCCTCCCGACTAATGCAGTTAAAGTTGTATAAGACCGAGAGAAGTTAACGAGCTGCGATAGCAAGGGTTCGACTCAGACTAACAACGACCGGAGCGAGACCGAAACTCTGTAATACCCCCCCATTATTGGTCAGCGCTATTCTTGGATCTCAAAGTGAATCTTTTAGCCAAACGAACACACACACGGCTGCAGTGTTCTCCGCACCTCATGTTTTATTCTCTGTAATAGCCACCGATGGCACATGAATAGTGGATTGTCTTGTGCAACGCTTGGCTCTGTGGATGTGGAGAGAAACTTGGGGATTTGACGGACGGATCATGGCAACGGTGGAGTCGGTGGATTGGGGAGAGAACGGATCAGTTAAAGCTGCGGTCTCAAACACGCGGTCCACGGCCCGTTTGCGGCCCAAGAAAATGTGTCTAGAGGCCGACAGAGTGGACGTCAAAGGTATAATGTAAAAATTGATGAAAAATTGCTCAAATTTGGCAAAATGTATCTTAATTTCCGCACTTTTTGACCGCACTGTCTCCTGTGGAATGAGAAAATAAACCAACAGTTCTTGAGACTAAATGACTTTCCCATTGGAGGAACTTGTTTTATTATTTTTTTGTAGCGTATACATTGTTTTGAAGCTAGTTTTATCAACACAACAACCACAACATTTATTTAATCACAAACATTGAACCCTGAAGGAAATAATCGGCAAAAATTCACAGTAAACTTGATCAAACCCAGTCTCTAAACAGCTGCTTCATTGGTGGAGGTTGGCAGCGCTGTGATTGGCCTGCATTTCCATCAAAGTTTATACATTAGTAAATATGTAAATATACAAAGAAAAGGGACACAACACCTCCGCAGATACACACAAAGACACAGTTAGAAACACACAAACACACAGTTAGAAACACACAGTTAGAAACACACAAACACACATACACGTTTTTGTTACCTGGTGGGTCCCTTTGACAGGGCCGTTCAGAATGGGACCCATAGACATAATCTTTTTTTACTGGGACTACTTTAAGTAATACAAAACAGTCAATAGAAAACAAACAACTCTTTTAAAGGAATTTTATTTTAGATTTTTTTTTCGAATTGCAGTGATTCTATTTTTGACATAGAATTTAATGCCACTCCATGTCCGATGTCTAAGGTCATCTGGTGAGGCATTAATGCAGGCCAGGCAGTGAGACTTCCCAGGGACCTTTCCAGTCTGTATGAAAGGCGTCATGGTCTTCTCCACAGCCTTCACCTCAGATGCAGACCATGGCTTTCTCTAACGTTCTAGGGAGAGAAATAAAAATATATTAGCAATATACACTCCCAGGGTGAGGACCAAGCAGCCTGGCTGTAATCCCCCACCTGGTACACTTACCAGAAGGGGCACTGCCACTACCATGGGGTGCATCTGGATGAATGGTTGAAGGTTCTCCGCTTGAAGTTTCTTTTAGCCCGTCCGTTTGTGAGAGGATCTCTACTGCTCTCCCTGTCGCACAGAAAATAAAAATACAAGTGGCCTTTAGGGGAAAAAAATCATACATATTTTAATAATATCAAGAATTACCTTCAGGCTCAATTTGTATCTGGTCGAGGCTCTTTCCTTTGAATTCCGTCACTCTTCCCTGCTCCATGGCCATCAACACTTTGCTGATTTTGGCCAGCTCCAGTGTCCCCTCTGGTAGTCTGTAATATTGCCTGTGGATGCGAATGTCATGGCCGAGGAAGTTGGCAAGTATGTCCATCTCATTCTCTTTCATATTGAGAACTGTAGACATAGTAGCTATGTGCTTTCTAAGTTTGGTTGAGGATAGCATCTCTGGATGCACCGCACCACATTCTTTGGCTACCTGGCGTAGGGAGTCTGATCCCCTGATGTGGGTGTCTGCGCCCGGGCGGGAGAAGAAGTATGGGTTATGGTCAGAGATGGAACAGGCCCTTCTGTTCTCCACCAGCACCTCCATCAAAGCAATCATTTCAGGAGTCAAAAGAACCGGCACTTTCCGACTTCTTTTCCCTTTCATTTCAATGCGTTGAAAATGCTGACACAGCTTTTTCTCAAATTGGGACAGTCCCAGAGCAATGTCTGAATGGATCCCAGTCTAGTAAAGGCTGTCAGTGGCATCTTTGAAACCTCACCTTCCCTTCTTCGATTGAAAATGATGACCTCACAAAGAGTCAAAACTGCCAGTTTAGACCAATGCTTAGACGTTGGCTCACTTATTAGGGTTTGCACATATTCAGGTCGACATACCTCAATATGTGCATGCATGGCTCTAACGTCCTCAGTCAGAGGGAGCAGGTCCGGAGTGTTCCACTTGGCTTGCCGGAGGGTCTGTAGGGCAGCAGAAGAAACACAGACGTCCCACCTCTTCTCAAAAAGCAGCCGGCTTCGTTGGAGGTTTTTAATAAATAGTTCATCAACACAATGCTCCATTTTTGAGTCACATTCAAGAATATCTGCTTTCTGAGGCTATGGCCGAGTTAGAGGGCCAAGGATGGAGTCTTGTATTGATTTGTTTCCTCATCATATCCAGCCACAGACCTGACTGCATCAATCACATGGTTAAAGTTGGAAGGAATGAAGAAATTCTTAATTGTTTTCAGTTTCCCTGCGGTTTTTGCTTCGTTAATTAACCTACCGACTTCTCTCATTTTCTGCCTAATGTAATCATGCTTAGTCTTATCATGCCCGTGTTTTAAGTACAGGTGCTCTCCGAGTCTCAGAATCCCCTTTTCTGCTTTGACAACACCCGTGACCTCATCCTGATGCATTGCCAAAATTAAAGACCACAGCTTTTTGCTGATGCCCTCCGGTACAGGCTGGGCTAGGGAGCAGAGGGACTGGACCCTACTTCTACCTGGTTTAGCCTGGTTTAGCCTGGGCATCTTTCTGTGAAAGCCGGCACCTGGCCACATGCCTCCACAGCGACTTTCGCTTAAGCAATGCCCCACAGTCTATACAGTGCAAAAACTCACTGGATTTAACTGGGCAATTTGGCTGTTTAGCTGGGACTAAAGTTCCAATGCCGGCCTTTAAAACCTCAAAATTGTGCTCACGGTTTCCACTATTCCTGATCAAATCAAACTGAAGTTTACGTGCTTTAGATTTCACAGGTAGAGCCAATGCTCTGGCTACGTCACTTTCATTTCCATGTTTTCTAGTCAAATGACGGGACATTTTGTGGCAGGACATTGAACAGTAGAGGCAGAAGTGTCTCTTACTGTAAACTCGCCCCCCATTTTTCTTCTTTTGCAGCTGCATGATAACAATCTTATGTGCCTTTGGTTCACTCGGTCACTTTCCGAGTCTTGAAGAAAAGTGTTTTTGATTTTTCTTTTTCCATACTTTTTTACAGGTTTCTTCTTGACAGTTAAATCGTCAGAATCTGAGTCGACTTCATCAATTAGGGA